ATATATATATATATATATATATATATATATATATATATATATATATGGCATTTTAAACCCTTACCATACTCTTGCAATATTCTAAACAATGTTTCTAAACCAGTGATCCTCACTATTTTTTTCAAAAGAGCCATATTGACTCTGTGATCAACTGTATTGATTCAACGTCACAGCAGAATTAGCGTACTGTACTTGTTTAAAAGTAAATTGTTACACTCCTAAACGCTGCTTTAAAATAGTTGAATGTTTAAAAGCCAGACTGAAACAAAGTCAAGGGGAGAACTGCGATATCACTCCAAGTCACTCAAATAAAAGAATAAAATTAAACAACCCATCTATGAACAAAAAAGAAACACAGCCAGCACATTATCTGTTTAAACAAAATGTATCTTAGTTCTGAGATGAGCGGAAGCTGTGGTGCAGGTCCTTGACTTTCTTCATGTTGTGTTTGTAATTTGTTGTTGCAACCACAGTGAGACATTCAAGATGGGCATGGGTCAGTGGGTTTCTCTGTTTTTGCTTGATAGTGCTCATGGTTGGAAATGTTGACTCACAGGTGTAAAAATTCAGCTTTTATTACCCCAATCCCACGTAGAAAACACAAGTCAACAATAACAATGAACACCAAAGTCCATGATAAACAATGAATATGCTGTAATATGTGTACAGATGAAGATGCCCCCTTCACATTTCCGCCTGCCCCCTCATGTAACCATGCCTAGAACCGGCCCTGCTTAGATGTTCCTACTTCCTTCACCGCAGATGACAACAGGTGGGGAGACGCATGCAACCGCTAGCTGACCCATCTGAGATTAACAAGACATTTTTTACGTCGTTTGACCGGCGGGTCAGCGGATACGCGTGGTTGGTGATGATCAGCTAATCTATCTGAAGCTTAACAGGACTTTTTTTTTTATCTCTACCGGCCAGTCGGACCTGCCTCCTCCTCAACAAGTAGATTAACACAATATTATTTGTAAAACTGCATCAAAGCAGCCCGAGCCAACATGCACAATTATTGCGCAATGCGCAGCACGTTTTAAAGATGTATTGGCTGTGCTGGCGTGTTGTTGTAACCTGTCACGAGCGCCACCAATAAAGCATGGCGAGCCGCATGTGGCTCGTGAGCCGCACAATGCGTATCCCTGCTCTAAATGCTCTACAAGAGCACAGAATGTCATCATTTCAGCTCCCTGCCTCCGCTGCTCTTTGCCTCCAGCAAGCGCTCTTGGCCTCGCCCACTTCTGTGCTCTGCACGGAGAACAGCTGTTCAGCCGCAGGAGGAAATTTATCCTGCAGTGAGGGCTGCACAAAGGTGCAGCAGGAGCTAAATAATTTTCAATAATTTATTTTAAATAAAAATTTCATGCCGATCATGCAGCTCATCCATAAATCAGCCAATTCTGTGTCATGTCCAATCTTATTTTGAAAAACCGCGATACAGCGAGTCCACGGTAAACGAACCGTGAAGTAGTGAGGGACTACTGTATAAGGTTGGTTAAAGAGAATCCTATATAACTTTACAGCTATATATTTATATTACTATTTCTAAATTTATTACTGTTATTTTGCTGCTGCTTTTTTGTAATACCACCATCCTCTCGTCATGGCCTTTTCCCCGTTTCTATCTAAAACGAATAAGGGGAAGCAACGTGCACTCCGCACATCTTTTGGACGACTGTATGACTATAATCTCACTGTATTTTTGTACAGTGATAATAAAGCTTATTCTGATTCTGATTCACTCTTTCTATTTGTACATAAAAAAATTAACTTCTCTTGTTTTAAGACAAAAGCGATGCACTTTGTTTTTGCTCTCAATCAAAAACTAATTAGCTCATCAGTCTGGACTGTATTTTATTATGTTTCTCCAAACTGAGGTCATGCAAAGAGCTGTTGTTAACAGGTAAGAAAATTATATATTCTTCAAAAACTCTCTTCAAAATATCTAAAATATCCCTTTATGATAGGATCCAAACTGCCTCATGCAATTTGAGACAATAAAACTTAAACATATTGTTTTAATCATTTTTAAAGATGAGTAACATGACTGCTTCACATTAACAGTCCTCAGCGTTGATTTTGTACTTTCTAAAGAGAAAATCATATGTTGTTTCTGAATAAATTAATTTCTATATGAACCTTGTTGTTTTGATGTTTGGTCTTTTTTCTGATCATTTTCAAACCATCTTCTCTAAGATTCCTTTGATTCTTCATATGGTTTGCTTTTTCTTATTCGCCTTTCTCAGCTTCCGTTCTGCCTTTTTTTTTTTTTCATGCGTCATGATTGAGGAGGTTTGCAAACACAGCATAAATAAATTACTGAGAACAAACGGATTAAGATAGCGCCTTGGCTGAATCATTTATGTGGTGTACAGGAACTAAAGCTCCAACTATAATATCATTTGTTTGTAATTGGGTTGAGGTTGAAGATATGTTGCAGCTTTGGGAAACACCTTATTACCAGCACAAAATAATGAATAATAAATGACTGAGTAGGTAAGCGCTGAGCCAAAGTTGTGTGCATGCCAATTTTCCTAGCTTCAGTGCACAATTAGACAGACTGATGATGAATTTTGGCTTGTTAATTGAGTTGTGCTTTTTTTTTCTTCAGATTTATGAAAAACAAGAGTAATGTAACACCTCAAAGCTGTTGGCATGAAAGCTTCATTTGTCCCCCTCCACATTTTTGTTTTTTATACTTCATGTTTCTTTGTCATGTTCTCTTTGACAATTTACAACTGATAAATGCATTCTTTTTTCACATTTATTGTATAAAATATGAAACTCTTTTGAAAGACTGATTTAAATTTAACTCTCAAAGCAGAATGATGTGTGTATATCTGTGGAGTAGAAGAAAAGGGAAGGAGACAAAGTGGGTAAAACTTACATCTTTGCTTGACAAGATGAGGACGTGAGGGATAAGTCTTAATGTACATGTTTCTCTAATAAGGTTGTTTCGACTAAACATGTAGCAATTTTTAGGCAACGTGTGGCCGTTCTCAAAGGAGCTGCACCCGGCTGTGCTGTCACACAGAGCAGAATGACAATCCTACCAAACCATAAAACTGAACCTCAGAATCTGATGTGATTTGAAATGACAGTGTGATGCACGCACACAAATGTGCACTGAGAACAGCCCTGTGCTCTCAGCACTCACGTGGCAAACAAACAGGCAATAAATATGCAAAAATTCACACATGCATGGGTCGACATACCTGTAGATGATGCAAGCACAGTCCCTGCAGGTGCCACAGTTCTCAATGTCCTGTCCGGTCCTATATGAATGTCTTCTGTTCAAAAGCACAGAGATGACATATCAGGGGTATAAGACATGTTTTGTTTGTGTGTGTTTGTGCAAGCAATGAAAGACAAAAATTCAAGTCCTCTTGTTGAGCAAAAGCTCTAGCACAAATCGCTAAGAGTAGACAAATCTCCCTGAACTCAGCCCTGATCATTATTTAATGAACTATGCCCCCCTCCAACAGGCTTGGACTGTTACGTAAACCATGAATCACCATGTCACTCCAGGCATAAAATAATGCTTATGAGGTGAAAGTGAAGTCTGCATGCGTTAAACCAATGTTAGAGTTCTAATATCGGCACACGCAAGATGTGTTCCTTTATGAGACAGAAGGCCGTCCAGTCACATGTTCACATGCCTGCAAAGAACAGTCCTGACGTTGATGTTAACACTAATTATACTGTCCAGATATCAGTCGAGTCTTTTCATGGATTCACAGATGCAGATGCATCCATGCGTGTTGTTTCCTGTCTGAGGTTCTCATGCCTCATGTATGTACTATTTTGGTGTAATAAGGAGAGAGAAATTACTAATCAGCTTACAATGTAGAAAGGAGATTAATTAAAGACTTGATGGGAACGGTAAAGGGTTTACACTAAGAGGCTTGGAGCATCTAAAACCACCAACGCGACAACAGCCAAATGTTGATTTTTATCAGTCACTGCACGCAAGCTGCACATAGCAAGACAAAAATGCTGCTGCACAATCGGTGCAGCAAAGCTCCCGAATGGCTCCATGTGGTATGATGTTACATAAATTTGTCAGCGTACCGAGAATTGACTTGCATGACAGATATGAGACATCTTTAAAGGACAATTTCAGTGATACCTGCATTCAGTCTGGTTTTCTTCCCACTCTCCTAACCTCTCACTCAGAATGAGAAGGTAACTGAAATAAATTGGCTCAAATAGCAAACAAAAATTACATTCTGCTCTATCTATATAGTTTTGGATTTACAATACATGCAATCTTGGGAGTGGCTATAAATAAAGGAGCTGCATCACAGAAAAGCCTCCACTGAACAAACACCCATTTCTTTATATTTACAGCACATGACACAGGGAGGTTATTACTGTGTATATTTTCCTTTTGGTGAAGATAATCCACCTACAAAAATCCACTGTCCAAGGTAGAGAAGACATAAAGTGTCAACCTGCAGTCACATTGTTTGTATTTCTCGTGTGTGTGTGTCTGTTTGAAACAAATTAGAACCCCTGTGGAAAATTTACTCATCATTCAGTAAAACGTCAAACTTGTGAGATTGTGATATTTACTGCCCAACATTTCAAAATATCAGACGGTCATAATTAATATTGTTTCACAATTTGTCTCTCTCAAGCTCCCTCTGTCCCCTCCATTTAGGTGTCTGTATAGAAAGAATACTGAACAGTAAATATGACCAAATGGTTTTTTATATTGCTCTTGGCCCTGGGCTAAGAAATCCAGTAGGGTTCATTGCTCTTTGGTTTGTGGATTTTGGTCTTCAATATTTATACATCTTAATGCTGGTTTCTCTTTTGGCCCAGGGTTTTCACACTAATGTTAATTTAAACAAGTCTTTGCAAATACTTCAATTAATGTATGCAGGTGAAAATTCTCAGTCATCAAGGTCATGATCAATCCAAAAAAGGAAAAAACTAAACTGGACTTCTATTATGAAACTGAATATGTTTGGCTTCCCATCCATGAGGCTTTATCAGTTCTAAAATGTCTGGAGTGTGAGGACTTCCAAGCTTTATAAAACTGCATGAGGCCTGGTTGTGTACTTGGACTCAAATGCAGATCAGAAAGTCTTTAGCTTCAGAATAGAAGTTCAGTTGCCTTTTTGTTTGTTTGTTTGTTTGTTTTTTAACCATCCATCCATCCATTATCTTTACCCGCTTCTTCCATTTTGGGTCACATCCATGGGTCATGCCTATGTCCAGCAATTACTGTGCGAGGGACAGGGTACACCCTGGACAGGTCAAAAGTCCATCACAGGGTCACAAAAAGAAAAACGAGACAAACAACCATTCACTCTCTCACTCACACCTAGGGACAATTTTAGAGTTACCAATCGTGACATGCATGTTTTTGGTCTATGGGAGGAAACCAGAGTACCCAGAGAAAACCCACGCATGCACGGAGAGAACATGCAAACTCCACCCAGAAAGGTCCTGGTATTTGTTCCAACAACCTTCTCGCTGAGAGGCAGAAGCTTTACCAGTTGCGCCACTGTGCTGCCTTTTCTTGGAATCAAATAACTTAAACTTTTATTATACTGCTACTTGTACCTGAGGACATTTGGGTATGTCAAAAACATAAAACTGCAAGCTTCTTACTCTGCTAAACTTTTACAAAAATTATGTCCTTGTGTTACTCTCTCATTTTCCACATGCAAAACTTTGAACAGTCCAACAAATACTTTGTTTGACAATCTAGTTGTTCTAATAATTTTGTGTGTTCTCAGTTTAAAATTGTCATCATGCCACGTCAGTAAAAATGTCTGCCTTACTCACCCATCTCTCTCTGCTTCCTTTTTCTCAAGGTCTTGAATGACATCCAGCAGGACCTTTATGGTGTTCTGACTTGTCTCTAGGACCCCTTCCAGACTTTGGAGCTGGTTCTGCAGGCTACGTATGTCATGCAGAGGACCATTAGGACTCAGGAGTTTCTCAACCACCCATGATGGGTCCAGTTTACACCTAGCCCCTGACATTAACCCTCCCAGAATTTCCTGGACTTGTCTTATAGTGTCAGCTTGGGTTGGAGTTAGGGGCCGAGTTGCAGCCTGCTCCCCGGAGACAGAGCAGCCCCTGGCTCCAGAGCAACCCTGCTGGTTTGGAGGGAGCATGTGTTGGCTGTTGGGTGTGTTGGGCCTGGCGTTGGCTCCTGAGCAGAGCATTTTGTGTAGCACCCCAAGCTGAGCCTGGGCCGAACTAAGACAGCTGGGTTTAAAACAGGCCTTGGCAGGGGAGCAGGCAGAAGAGCACCTCTCTCCTTTCATCACAGCAACTGGCGGTGTTTGAGCTCTGTGCTTCAGAGAGTTGACTTTCTCACAGAGCTTTGGTGAGTCTATACATTTAATATCCTCCTTTTTCTTCTCCTTCTCTTTATCCTTGTCACTGGATTTGCTCTCTGCCCTGAGCATTGGTGTCCGAACTGCAGGACCTGGCGGCTCACTTTTCCGTGGTGTGTAGGGTGGAGGTGGTGGAGGAGGAGGTGGTAGTCGAATGCCTCTCTTATCCTGAGCATTATGGGGAGCCTGAGAAGGGGGGGTGTACGGTGGTGCAGCACGAAATGTGGAAGAATACAGAGGAACAGCTTTAGTTGGTGTCGCACAAGACTGAGCATTCTGAAGAGTGGACACAAAGGCTTTTACAACTGGAGGTGGAGAAGTGCAAGATTTGAGTTTGGGCACAGGGGAGGTGTAGGGGGTTATGCCTGTACTGATAGAGGAGGCATGCTGCAGTGCCTGGCATGGGATGTTACAATGAGATATGGTTTGTATGAGTGTGGCATAAGAGGGGGCAGTTGGGTTTAGATGAGGTGTGTGGGGACCAACTGGATGCGTGGTTGTGTAATATGATATGGAGGTGCAAGACAAAGCAGTCTGAGTCACAAATGTACAGGGTATTAGATTTGTGATGGGTGCATTATTTGTTGGTGGCTGTTGTGTTATATGTGGTTCACTGGTTGAAAACTTGGTTGGGTCACACGGTGTTAAAATAGGGCTTATAGTTGGGGTAGATGTGGAACAGGTTAAGGAAGAGGATGATATTGGATTTGGTGTAGGGGAGGTGCAGGTTTGTGAGAAGCATTGAGGTGTATTTGAAGAAAGACTAGAACAGGCAACAGATGTGCTTGGGATTGTTAGTGGTGACACAACTGTATAATAAGGGATAGAGTTTTGAGCAGCAGTAGTTGTGGAGGTCGATGATGAAACTGAGAGGGCACTGGGTGGAGAAGGGGTGGCACAAGCAAGCTTAGAAGGAGATGAGCAAGGTGGCTTTGTGCAGTCTTCAGGGGTTTGTACTGGTGCTCTTTTAGGCAGAGGAGAAGTACAGTAAGGCACAGTAGTATTTTGTGTGGTGTGAGTATTTGGAGTTTCAGGTGGAGACACAGGGTTGTCAGACTGATTTTGCGCTGAGCTGGGTGATACAGTGAGTGATGGGGAAGCAACAGAGCTACAAGTCTGCATTTGTGTAGTGCAAGGTTTATGATTTGGAGAAGTGTGACAGGGAGAGTCTGTTTGTATTTGAGTGGTACACTGTTCAACATTTGGAGGTAGGGTTGGACTAGAACTGGTGGTTTGAATTTGAACTGTGCAGTTTTCATCACTCAAAGGTAAAGACTGATGTTGATGGTCCATTTGACTTTGGGTGGTGCTGTATTTTGAATTTGGTGGTGGGAAAGGGCTCTCAGTTTGAACTTGAGTAGTACAGAAGTTTGTATTTGAAGGTGGAGGGGACTGACTAGGGTTTTCAGTCTGTGTTGGTGTGGTACAGTAAATAACTTCTTTTCCGGGATCACTTGTTGTTCTGTTTAGGCGTTTTCTTCTTCTTACTACTGAGGGAGTACTGCTACCCTGGCGTTTGGTGCCATCTCGACATGATACAGAGGAACAGTGGCATGGCTCAGTGCTGTGAAAGACTGAAGGCGGGCAGCTGTGTCTCATAGTTTTTGCAGTAACAGCTGACTTATTATCTGTCCTTGGTACTTTAGATCTTCGTTCTACAACAGTTTTTTCACCAATGGTTAGGGCTCTGGACTGACTTTTGGACCCAGGCAGTAACACATGATTGTGCGTAGTATACTCATCTTGAGAGTCATGTTCATCATCCCCATCCACACCAACTGAATCCCCAATGCTATGGCTACTTTTGTGGGTAGATGAGAGAGACTGTTTTTTTTTTAGGCATGGAGAAGTCTGGATTGCTGTGCTAGTGCTTGTACTGGGCCTCCGTGTCATTGGTAAAGTCAGGGAGTTAACCTGTGGTGGTGCCCAGCATCGTCGTGTGGCACCAGGTGTCAATGGATGAGGAGGGGCCCGTGCTAAAAAAGCTGCCACCTTTTCTATTGTACTTGCCATGTCCTCACGCACGGCCCCCACCACAGAAGTTGGACCAAGTAGGTTCTCAGTTTGTAGCCTTTGTTTGTTTGTCCATGGGTTGGGAGATGTGCTGCTGTGTTTGCGAAGAGGATGTGGGCTGTTGTAGTTTGTGGCAGGCGTTTGATGGCCATTATTTTCTCCTATTGCACTATTACCACTGCTGCTGCTGCCGTCCTCCAGGTCTTTAAAGCGAACCTGATGGGTACGGTTGCGGCGCCGCTTAAGGCGGCTCTCAATATCTGGAGAGTCTCGATTGAGGAGCACAGAGCGTACAGTCATTGTCCCTGGTAGTTTGTCTGCCAAGGTGCTCTTGCCGTTGTTCTGGCCTGTGAGCAAGTGATTGGACTCTTTACTGACCATTTTTCTAGTTTCTTTCCATCCCCCAACATCCACAAGCTTTGCAGGCAAGTTGCTGAAGTAGAGGCCTTGTCTTGTTCATGTGTCAGCAAAGAAAGTCATCCTTCATAATTATCTGTTCATGGTAATGAAAGTATTAGAGAGCTATACAATTGACTCACAATTTCCAGTTTTATCACAAAAGGTACTTGGGTTATGCCAGTCTTTTTATAATATTGTTCATGTTTGCTTAGTTTAATTGTACAGCTGAGATCGTCCCAAAGAAAGTATAGAAAACTACCAAATCTACAGGTACAGGACAGGAATGAAAACAATGCATGAGATCCCTTTAACTAATGCTTACCACTTCTGAAAAATGTATCCCTTCTTTTAGTTGTACAGAAAAAAGTAAAAGTAAAATCATAAAATATATTAAACAAATTCATTTTTAAATACCCTAAATATATGTATGTCCATACTTTTTTGTGCCCTCCAATTTTGTGTACTCTTTTTCTCTTATTCTGATTTCTTGTTAAATTTCCCTTCTGATGTCGTTATGAGACCAGAGAAGATAAACACACATAAGCAGACAGATAAGAAATGCAGCTTGTCCATTTTTTAGTATGGCATTCCCTCCTCCACTTTTTTGCCCCCTAATGGCACAAAAAATAAATGGCCGAAGTGTGGAACAGTCTTGAGTGCCTTCTCTTATGGGTCCATTTTTGAAAGTCGTCATTTGGCTTCTGACTATTTCATTTCTTTTTGTTGGTTTCCTATTCTCTCATGGCTGAAGATTGTGTGGAGTCCTAAAGAGAGAGAAGCACAGAGAGAAGGAAAAGGCGAGAGCGTTATTGTTTATAATATCATTGCATTTCCTTTGAAACATGAATATAATATAAATATTCAGGATAAAGAGGAAGACGTACGAATGAAAGTTACATTGAAATGCACAGGAACAAAGCCAACATAGCAGAGAGAAGAATATATTAGTTAAAAGAAACTAGCAAATGGTTGGAGGTGGCGAAAGAAAAGTACAGGAGAAATATACTCCCAAAACCAGTGAAAAGAAATTGTAATTAAGACCTATTCAGATCGTCTGACGGGGATACTTATGCTTTATGTTTGTTTGATTTTCTCTCTCATTAACTATTGTTAAAGGTAGCCTTATTGTTTCAGCACCGGCAGAATTCAGTGTTTTTCCAGCTCGGGAACACAACGTGACTGATTTCAATTTGCCCGTGTTTGTGTCTTATGGATTTTTCCTTTCCTCTGCGTTTTAACAGTCTGTGGCCCTGTTATCAGTCCCTGGTGATCTGCCATGGTGACATCCTCTCTGATTCATCTGGTCACTTTGTGACAGTCTGTCTACCATGCTGTGGTTAGTAGTATGTCCTCATCACTTTGATTTTGCAACTTGTTTTTAATATGTATGTTTCACTTCCACTTCTTGCCTGTGATACTTATGTCTTATGCCTGAATCACAGGATCTGATTTGTTCCTTGTTATCTGCTCATGATAGTCCCTGACACTGACAGGCCTGTCCACTAATTCTAGGTGCGAGTGTGACTGGACATACTCTTATCTTCTGTGGGAGGGGTAATTAGTGACTCCTTCACACCTCCCAGGTTATTTAGGGAGTGTAATACCCAAGGGGCTGCCACTTTTATTTACATCCACTGTTTTTTTTTTTCCTTCTTTCTCTTTTTGTGGCTTTCAGGAGGAGGATTTTTGTCACAACCTCCCGTCAACCTCTTTAAAAACATGGTTATTAGTATTAATTATGATTGCAGTCACACAGACAGAGCCTCAAGGAGAACATTAACCACAATGGATTAAGATACAAACCATGGATTTTTATTTTTTTTATAATTGTACTTTCTTATCACAGCAGTATTTACAAATGAACTGTTTAACTATGAATCACGAAGATGAAATCATTGTGGAATGTGATGCACATTTTTCCAGGCATGAAAGGTTGAATCTTGCACTGCAGAGGCAAAAAAATAAGAGCAAAGGTGTATCTTCAGCTGAATGTGTACCCTCTTTGATCTCAACCCATACTTGATAGTAATATTCTTTCTCATCTCTCCGTATAAAACTGTGTTTTCATACCTGTTTTCTTTTTTTGACATTAATATCCCATTTCATTCAGGTCATCAGTCTTCCTGCCTATTTTATATAAAAAGCACTCTCAACCTTCACCCTGACAGATTTTTTTGAGTTTCATCCATGAGCTGTAGGACCATTACCCTCACTCATTCAATGGGGATGTCATCCTTAGTGTACCTTCTTTCTATCTTTCTCCCATCTGGTC